AGATGTTTCGCCCAACTGTGTGCCGACCTACTCTAGGCTCTGGGTTCTTTTCTTTCCAATGTGCAAGATTTCCTGCAAACCTCCCAACAACTAAAAACATAATAAGCTACAATAAACTCAAAAGCTGACCGTCATTGTTCAGAACAGAATTCGCCTTTGCCAGCCCCTGCAAATGGACCAGGTTGCTGCCCTGAACGTCCCCAGCTGCCGTCAACACCTGTTTGACCTCAATGCACCAAAACACGGCCAAAGGCGACTCAAATGAACAAACATGATCAAACCCCCATACATAACACTACAAAACCCTGCAACATCATTCAACATCATATGACAACGCACTGACCTCACCAATGAAAAGAAGTCTTTCCAAATTGTTCTGGCTACTGAATGCACCACAGCTGGCCACGGACTGGCCACCAAAAACTTCAGCATTCCTGGCATCTGGAGAGCCCAACCCAGGTTTTGTGCATAGCCTGTGCTCCGGCCCCGCAGCAGCAGCATCCAGCAATGTCAATTGCTGGCTGATGGAGTGACCAGACGGACCAGACAGACCAGACAGACCAGAAGCAGAAGGCTTCTTCCGGATGCCTTTCTGGCTGCCCGAAGCTGGCCGCTTCATGGCCTGACTGGCCGTATCTCTGGGGACCAGAAACGTCTTAGCCTCGCCTGCTTCCCGGATCGCTTTCTCCGCTTCGCGGACTGACCAGAAGGACCCAAACTCCCACTCGCCCTTCTTCACCTGAGATAGACAACTGATGCTATGTTGATACTGGCACATGCGGGCACACGAAGGCTGGCAACAGCCGTCAATGCGCAAAAACTTGGCCAACCCCAACATTGATATGTTTGGGGTTGTGTGGAAGGGTAGCGAGGTGTGTGTGGTGATATGTGGTGGGTAGATGATGTTAGATGTAGGTAGGGGGATGCTGCGGGTTAGAAATTGGTGGGGTGGCGCACTGTTCCAGCTGCTCAACAAAGAAGAATCTCCGTACTTTTCATATCTTTTCATTAGTCTGATGTTCATGCAAATGTATCTACAAGTATCACAAAATATCAGAAATATATCTTCCACTGCCCAGGGCCATTGCCATGAGCCTTACAATCTCATTGAGAAGGAAATCTCAACAATTCAAAAGTCAATTGACTCCCTCCAACAAGCCGGAAACCACATCAGATCACATCCACCAAGTCGCTCGGATCCGCTTCTTGCCAGAGTGCCAGAACCAGTTTTCGTAGGGCAATTGTAAATTGCCCTGTTGGTGTGCCTTGGAAGCTCACAAATGCTGGACATTGCTGGACCTGCTTGCTTAATCTTGCTATATCTTGCTACTGTAGAATACTGTAGATGTTTATCATATGTGGGCAGCAAGTATCCCAAAGTATGCTAGCATTAAGCAGACATATAAAAGATACATCCTCCTGTCCGTTCCAGGTAGGGGTCATACCCCCCACTTTATAGATCTAAAACGGTGTTCCCGAAGCCTGTCAGGCGATGTCAGGTGTAAAGAATGAAAATACCTAATGCCAGACATCGGTAAGCGCCCATGCAAAGCCTCTGAACTGACATTTGTCTGTTCTTGGACGGCCCGCTAAACTCGATTGCACACAACTGCAATAGCCCAGATTGGGTTATCTTCCCAACACAGCACAGAAACACGTCCAGCAAAAAAAACACAACAGATTCAGCATGATTCAGCAGGAAGTGCTTACACAAACACACACTTCCTGATGCCTGAGATAAACCTGGAGAAACGGCCCAGAGAAAAGACGGTCAACAAAAACCTGTTTCTGCATCACCGATTGGTTGGCTAAAGGATGTTAAAGGAATGCAGGTATATGCAGGTACACAGTGGAGCGTCCTCCACTGTATCAGCACATATCAGCACAAACTGACACCCTCTTCATTGGACGGGTAGTGTCAGCTATGGCCCGTCGTGATATGTCGTGACACAAAATGCTTACACACGCACACACACAGCTCTCTATAAAATGAACCCCTGGCGTCCTCCAGGAGGAGGCTCATAAAACGTTTTAGGACATGACTGGCCAACCCCATTTCTAGGGGATATGGACAAATTGACAGCTCTACCATCAATTTTCATCAATGCCCTGGCACCACAACCAATTCCCGGTTGTCAAATCCCTACAAACATGACCTGACTACTAGATCTCGCATCTACAAAATGAGCCTTGTTTTTGTGGCTGAACAGTCTACAAAATGGGAGCCTCTGAAAGAAGTCAATCTACAAAATGATATCTAAATTCGGATATGGAAACGTCTACAAAAATGTAGGCCTCAACGCCATTTTGTAGAAAAATTGCCTCCAGCCTCATAGCAATGGTAGCAATGGCGTGGAGCCTAGTAGCAATGGCCTCCAGCCTCATAGCAATGGCCAAATAGAATCAAATGCACCAAAATATCACAAAATCTATCAAATCATGGAAAATCTCGACAAAATGCTTCCAGAAAATTATCTACAAAATGCTGTGGAAGACCCGACCCGAACAACCCAAAAACTTCCAAAAACCTCCAAAAAAGCCATCAAGTTGTTTGAGAAAACTTCTCTACAAAATGCCACTTCCACACTCGACTGAAGATCTCTACACAATGCATCGCGAAAAAAATATCTACAAAATGCATTCTCTACAAAATGCCGTCGATTGAACCACAAAACGCAAAGGGCCGAGTCAAAACTCTCTCTCCAAAATGCCGGGCGTGGAAAACACATTCTCTATCAAAAGTGGGGTACAGGTCTATCTTAAAGAAACAAAAAGTCTGATATAAGGAAACAGACATGTGACTGTTATCCAGTTATCCAGACAACGCTTCCCAAGGCTTCCAAAACCCAGTTCCAAGGCCAGCCCTTCACATCCCCGATCCGTCAACTCGCTGTCATCAAGGCAGCAGGCGTCCATTTTTCCAGGGAAAGATGACAGTACTTGTGCGCTGTTCACGCGCCGCTGCGTGGGTCCAGCGAGCAGCCAGGCAGCGTCGTCAAGATACCACCATGGCGGGTGCGTTTGCGGCAGCCACCATGGGACTCTCTCAAGCTCGAGATTGCCTCAACTGGCGCTGGTCCAGTTTGGGCTTCCGCGCAACACTTCCATTGCGGCAAGGGATTAAACGATCATGCTTTCGCGCGCAGGATCCCTATATCCCGTTCCACGGGTTTCGAGCCGCTGCGAGATAGTGCTCTCTCATGCACATTCTCAACCTGTAATAAACAGGTGGGCCTTCCGACCAGACACGCCGGATCACCTTCAGTTGCTCACAGGTCCTGGGCTCGTTTCCCAGAACAGCCCCCAACTGCGAATCCGACGAGCCCCAACCGAACCCACGCCTGTCCACCGAACGCGCCCGGCGACTCGTTTTGTCGCACCGATTGAGGTCTGGCCCTCGTTCTTGAGCCAAAACTAGGCCTTGAGCCAAAACACACGCGCACAGTATACTGCACACAGCTCGCCTAACCCAGCGCGAGAAAACAAGGAAGCCGAGGAGGTAGTAGGTAGTAGGTAGTAGTAGTCGTCGTCGTCGTCGTGGTCGTGGTCGTGGTAGTCGTGGTAGTCGTAGTCGTGGTAGTGTAGTGGTGGTAGTCGTAGTCGTAGTCGTAGTCGTAGTCGTAGTCGTAGTCGTAGTCGTATACGTATACGTATACGTCGTAGTCGTCGTCGTCGTCGTCGTAGTAGTAGTAGTAGTCGTAGTAGTAGTAGTAGTAGTCGTCGTGGTAGTAGTAGTAGTAGTAGTAGCGGTGGTAGTGGTAGTGGTAGTGGTAGTAGTGGTAGTGGTAGCGGTAGCGGTAGGTAGTAGGTAGTAGGTAGTAGGTAGTAGGTAGTCGGTAGTCGGTAGTGGGTAGTCGGTAGTGGGTAGTGGGTAGCAGGTAGTAGGTAGTAGGTAGTAGGTAGTAGGTAGTAGTTAGTAGTTAGTAGTTAGTAGTAGTAGTTAGTAGTTAGTAGTTAGTAGTTAGTAGGTAGTAGCTAGTAGCTAGTAGCTAGTAGCTAGTAGCTAGTAGCTAGTAGTTAGTAGTTAGTAGTTAGTAGATAGTAGTTAGTAGTTAGTAGTTAGTAGTTAGTAGTTAGTAGTTAGTA